TTCCTTCCTTCCTTCCTTCCTTCCTTCCTTCCTTCCTTCCTTCCTTCCTTCCTTCCTTCCTTCCTTCCTTCCTTCCTTCCTTCCTGTCTTTCTGTCTTTTTTTGAAAGACTAATTTATCTTATGCATACAAGAACTGGGGTGTGGGACAGAGGTGTTGGGGGTGGGGTGAGAGGATTCACCAGGGTTAGAGTGGGGATCAGAACAGATAAATCTACTGAAATACACTACGGAGACTGAGGGAACAGAAGCTAAGACAGGTGGGATCTGGTCAGCTCCCTGGCTGAGGATCAAACTCATGTCGCAATGGCTGGTGTTAGCTTGATAGCACTGAGACTTTAACCCCTGTGTTACCAGGGAGGACCCAACACACTAAGTTTCTTAGATAATTTAAACTAGTTTTTTAATTTTAGAACAATGCTAGAAGTGGTTAACCAGCCCTATATGTGGATAACATATTGTATATCTAGAACCTCTGTATTGGACTCTCAGAAATCACATGTATAGGTATTTCTTTCTCCTTTTTGTTTTGTTTGGAAAATCTGGAAAAATGAGCAAAAAGTAAAAGAAAAAAATAATGTCTGAAAGTAGGATATAGGGTATTGTATTTAATAAAGCCTTCCAACTATCCAATCCCACCCCATGCTATTAATATTTTGGAATTGATTCTACTACTTCTAAAGGTACTTTATAAAAATAATGTGGTGAAGTACTACCTGCTGTCTTTTATGATAGCTGTTTTGAAGTCTCTTTTTTATACATGCTGTTATTTCTGCTTTGATTCTCTCCTAGATGACTTTTTTTTTTCTTTCAGTGAAGAAAACAAGTGAAACATTTGTTTTAAAATACTTTTTAAAAAGTCTAACATTGTAGATATAGAAAGGAAAATTTTCCCTGTACCAGTCTAAGGGATAACTAAATGTTTTGGTCTATATTCTAGATAACTGAACTTTTAACATTATTACTTTCTTTCTGGTTTTACAAAAATGGGATCATACTTTCCCCAATATATCACCTTATTTTGCACTCAGAAATGCTGTATTTCATGTACTTTCCTCCCTGTATATCCACCCCAAACTTTTCAGTGACTTTAGGAAGTTTCACAGGATGGATTGACTGTTATTTAAGAAGCTGCTTGTTCATTAGGATGGCACCAATAGTTTTCTAGTACAAAAAATGCTGCAACAAGCTTTTTGATATTCTTTATTCCCCTGTGCTTTTCAGTAGGATGATACCTAGATGTGGGAATTTTCTGGGTTGAGATTTGTTGTAATTTATAGGTTAACCTTCAAGATTTTCAATCATATTTATCATAAATAATATCATTCTGATTTGAGAATAACCTTTGTTTAATGGAAAGAGGAATCCCTTTCCTCAGATTCCAATGTTGTTTCCCCTCATGTTTTAATCTGAATTTTATGTAATTTATGAAACATTTGAGATAAAGTATTACTTGTTCTTTCAGTTATTTTGAAAAGGATCTCTATGGTGTTTTGTCAGCATTCTTGATAATGCTACCTACCATTTCATTGGGTGCTGATATTCCTTATTATGAGTGCATGCTTTCAGTTTAACTATTTTGTATGACTGTGGTTGAGAATAGAACTAAAAAATAGATCACCCGGTGACATAAGTATTAATAAAATTCTTTCTAGCTTGGATGATATGTCTATTGGTGGAAACTTATCTAAAACACAATAGACCAAATAGAATAGAGTAGAACAAAAACTTCTATTACAACTTATAATTGAAGAAATATACAAGGGGACTCTATCCATAAAAAGAGAAACACCAGGTGGTCATTGTGCTTACACATTTTCATTGCCTTCTTTATGATCTGGAAAAATGTGTAGTTGTACTTTACTGAATTAAAGGAAGCTTATAGATGAATTTCATATTTTCTTTTCCTCCTACGGGTAACCTAATTGAATGATAAGCATTGGTTTTAGATGAAAAGAGTTTCTGGGGTGTGTTCAGGACCTTTCCTGGTATTGCACACAGCTAGGTGTTTTGTACTTTTTTTAGGTAATTTATCAAACTCAAGTTCTTTCATTGACATCTCTGTGTCCAGTTTAACTACAGCTATTTTGTTTTTTAAAAAGATTTATTTATTTATGCGGGCCCTCCCTCGTGGCGCAGTGGGTTGAAGCGCAGCACTGGGAAGCTAAAGCCACTTCAGCACAAGTTCGATCCCCGCCCAGGAGGTGACCCACATGGCATGGCAGACCTCTCCTGGCCTGCCCACTGCTCCCCTCAGCAGTGTACTTCCTCGATCTGCCTGTTCTGCTCCCCCCTCTGTCTCTGGTGAATCCTCTCACCTGCCCCCAACACCTCTGGCCTGTACTCCAGTTCTGTGTGCATAAATTAAAAAAAAAAAAGATTTATTTATTTATGCATACAGAACTGGGGTGTTGGCCAGAAGTGTAGGGGATGAGAGGATTCACCAGAGACAGAGCTGGAAGCAAAATAGGCAGATGTACTGAAATACACTCCTGAGGGGAGCAGTGGGTGAGACAGGAGAGGTCTGCAGCGCCATGTGGGTCAGCTCCCTGGCTGAGGCTCAAATTCATGATGAGGTGGCTGTGGAGCTGCGCTTTAACCTGTTGCACCACCAGGGAGGGCCAACTACAGCTGTTTTAAAAGATCAAATTGCTCTGTAGATCAGCATGCTGATTTTAAGTTCATATTTAAAAGACAGATGAACTCAGTCTTTATTGCTATGGAATTTGCTATGGAATTGGAGAAACTCACTCATTAGCTCATTTATGGTTTTATTTTATTATACATATATACATACATACACATATGTATATATATATTTGCATCATTGTTCATTTTTGTATAATGTCTGCTTTCTTCTGTCAGGTGTACAGTTCCCGCCACTAGTGCACACATGCACCATCGCCACAGTCCCTTGTGCTCTTCCCTCCCGTCTTGATCCCTCTGCTTTACCCTTCTTGCAGACTATCTCTGATCTGTGGTCACCTCATGTATGCCTTTGCAGGTATATCTTTGAAGATAGGCATTTGCATTAAAGTACTACTTTACTATAATTTATTTATTTTTAAAGATTTATTTATTTGTGCATACAGAACTAGGGTACAGGCTAGAGGCTCAGGGATGGTGAGAGGCTTCACCAGAGACAGAGTGGGGAGCAGAACAGGCAGATCGACGAAGCACACTGCTGAGAGGAGCAGCGGGTGGGTCAGGAGAGGTCTGCCATGCCATGTGGTCACCTCCATGGCAGGCGGGAATTGAACTCTTGCGGAAGCGGCTTTAGATTCTCAGTGTTGTGCTTTAACCCGCTGTGCCACCAGGGAGGGCCTATTTTGGTTTTTAAAGAGTAACCTTTCCCCCTTATCCTAAGGTTTCATAATCTTTCCAGCCTGATTTGTAAATCTTTACCTGCTCATCTTTTTATCTATTTCATATCACAGTTTTGAAGATTTGATACTAATTTGAGATTATTTTGGTTCTTTTTCTTCTTTTGACAGAAAACAGGCATCCTTGTGGGTCCAAGGAGACATTTTTCGATCCAAATTGAAAAATAGGCCATCTAGTGAAGGAAGTATCAATAAAATTCTCTCCAGCTTAGATGATATGTCCATCAGTGGAAACTTATCTAAAACACAAAATGTGGAGAGATTTGGAGAGGTAAGTTTTCCTTAAGAAGGTTTTTGTATTTGTTAAGACTAACCTGTGTTTGTTTCTCTGTTGAGCGTATATAACAGTATCTCTCCTTTGAGATGCTGATTATACCAAAGTTTTAGATACAGAATCATCTACCAGTAAAGGAAGAGTTGCAGCAAAGAAAGCAATTATTGTTAAAAAGGAAAAAGCAGTAATTTAAGGAGTACAGTTATAACGGAGGATACTCTGATTTGGAGCTATTTACAAGAAGAAAATAGAAACACAAATGTTATCTTTGAAAATGGAAATAAGTATTAAGAAGAAACAATTTAATGTGACAACTGAAGAAATCGTACATATCCCAGGCTTTACTTTAAAAGCCTCAAATTCCTGTTGATTTCTAAAGTGAAGTCCAGAGTTGAAAACATAACTAGGGGCAACTTTTGAAAACTGAGACTTTAATGCAAGCAAACCACTTTAAACAGTTTATGTACACTGTCTGACTTAATCTTTGTAACTACATGGTGATGAGTTAGATAATATCATTTCTTTCATAGTAAGGAGATTGAAAAGCAGAGAGGTTGTAACTTCAGTGTTGGAAATATTCAGTCTTATATACCAGATTCCAAATCTGCTCTTTCTATAAAACTCTACTACCTCCGAATATAAAAATGTAGGTGACATTACCAAGAGTTAGGCTCATCGGTGTTTTGGCACCAGGATCTGTTCCCTTCTAGTTTTCCTCTTGTGTGGATCAGAAACTAAAGTCGCATAAAACCTGTGATTCATATTAGGCTACAGATTGTTTATACCTGGAGAACTAGGAGTCTAACTCCTAATTTAGTTAATAGGCCTCACGTGAGATTTAGCACCTGGATTACATTTATATTTTTATGTGGCCAAAAAAAGCAATAAATCTGTTGAAAGTATTTAATAGCTTAGAAGTATTTAAATAGTAAGTATAGATTTATATTCTGCTGGGCAGTGACCCAGTCCATCAGCACATGGGCTTTGCACAGAAAACTGGCTCAAGATTAATACCCTTTTAGAAGCCAAAAGGGAAGGAAGGCACCATAACTCTTAGGTTAATGACTGACACCCAAGCCTGTTTCTTTCATCAAGAAAGATAACCTGAGTTCTTGAAGATGAGGAGAGTGAGGTGGGCTTTTCCCAAGGACAGAGGATTGGTTATGCTAAAGGAACTGATTTTCAGCCTGATGGTATGTTCTCCAGAACAGCCACAGATGAAGTGGCTAAGTTTACTTGTTTGAGTCATCTGTCCTGACAAAATGTAAATCTTAGCCAAGGTCATGTTGATGTTAAGCGTCTTTGTTGACTTTTTTCTTGTCTCTGTGTTGTAGTTAGGCCTATTCAAAGCAAACAAAACGGATATGAACTGACATATTAATGTGAGAATACAGCTAAGAAAGAAAACTTTTCTTGCTCTGGTCAGCATTTCCTTCCAGAAAGAGTTCAAATAAATAGGGCCTTGAGTTGTGACCTCTGAAAAGACACATAGATGAGTATATACTCATCTATCGGAGAGACATATTTATCTTGCAGTAAGTAACACAATGCTTTCCTCCTCTATATAAAAATGTGTATTAAATTAACACCTGGTAGTTAGAACATTTCTGTTTCATACTTTGTTTAGCTTCTCATTTGTTGAACTTAAGAATAACATTGATTTATTACTGGGAGAGTAAAGAGTACAATATGAAAATCAGTCAGTTTTAAACATGAGCATATATTCAGATGTTGGCTTTGTTCCCTCTTTCCTAGCTTATACATCCTTCCCAAGCAATTACTTTATTTATTTATTATTATTATTAGTTTAACGTTTTATTTGTTTATGGTTAGAAGAACTGGGGTTTAGACCAAAGGTGACAGCTGAGGGAGAGGGTTCACTAGAGATGGAGTGGGGAGCAAGAACAGGCGGGTTTACTGAAGCACACTGCTGAGGGGAGCAGTGGGCAAGACAGAAGAGGGCTGCTGTGCCATGAGGGTCAGCTCCCTGGCCGGGGATGGAACTCAGGCTATAGGGGAGATAGTGCTGAGACTTAACTCCTAGGCCACAAGGCCCTAAAATACTTATTTTAGTTTAGTCACTCACCAGTGCTATTGTTTTTACATTCAAGGAGCCAGAAATAAAAGATTGAGAAATGCCAGAGAATGATGGTATGATTAATCTTTAAGCCGTGACATATATGGGCTCTGGATTACTTCATAGTTAAGTGATACTTTATATAACTCCTCCTTTTCTTCCCAGTGTATCTGGTGCTGGCTTCAGAATATTCCATGACTCAAGGGAGTCATTTTATTCAAAGTAACTGTATCAGAGCTTGTGATAGCTTTATCATTCTTGTGAATTCCAAGTGGGGACATAAAGTGGAGAATGCTGTTATATTTCAGTGTGTTTCAAGTTCCATACCAGTGTTCAGAATAGGATCCTATTGAAATTATGGATTTATTTAGCTTGTACATAGAGATTTTATTTTTTTAAAAAGGAAAAAAAGCTGTAATTTAAGGAGTACAGTTATAAAGGAGGATACTCTGATTTGGAGAACAGTTACAAAAAGAAAATAGAAAAGCAAGCATTTTACTTGAAAATGGAAATAAGTATTAAGAAGAAATACTTTCATGTGACAGCTGAAGAAATGGTCCATATCCCAGGCTTTGCTTTAAAAGAGTAACCTCTTTATTTTTTGTTGTTCTCTTTCCAATTCTTTAAGGTGCGACATTAGGTTATTTCTTTCAGCTATTTCTTGTTTCTTTATGTGAGCTTGAATTGCTATATATTTTCCTCTTATAACTGCTTTTAATGTGTCCCATATGTTTTGGAGACTTGTGTCGTCATTGTCATTCTTCTCCAAGTATTTTCTAATTTCATCCTTGATCTCCTCATTGATCCAATGGTCTTCCAGTAGTGTGGGTTTTAGTCTCCACGTGGTAGGTGGGTTTCTTGCCTTCTCCATACCTTTTTATTTTTTTTTTAAGATTTATTTATTTGTGCATACAGAACTGGGGTATAGGCCAGAGGCTCAGGGGCGGTGAGAGGATTCACTAGAGACAGAGTGGGGAGCAGAACAGGCAGATGGATGAAGTACACTGCTGAGGGGAGCAGTGGGCGGGTCAGGAGAGGTCTGCCGCGCCATGTGTTCACCTCCGGGGCAGGCAGGGATGGAACTCATGCGGAAACGGCTTTAGCTTCTCAGTGCTGTGCTTTAACCTGCTGCGCCACCAGGGAGGGCCATACCTCTTTATTTTTTAAGGCAAATTGAAAGCAGACACTATTTTGATTCCTAGGCCTATAAGAATTTCCCTGTGATTGGTTATTAGGAAACTCTATCATTGAGAGGTTTGGAAAATTTTAACATATAGTTTTTTTTTTAAGCACTCTATTTAATCATATTTTTATTGAAATTACACTTATTTACAAAACTCTTTAATACCAGGAATACAGCTTCACACCTCCATAGGTGACTGTATTTCACTCACTCTCTGACAAAGTTCTAGTGCCGTCATGCCATCAAAGGGACTCCCTCTGTTCATTGCTCACCCCCTGCACCTCTGGTGATCACTGTATGTTTCAGAACTTACAAGTTATTTTTTGTATGTTTTGCCAGTTTGTTTTTTATATTCCACACAGGAATGAAACCATCTGGTATTTGGCTTTCACATTCTGACTTATTTAGCTTAGCATAAGCACCTCAAGTTCTAGTCATGTTATCACAAAAGGCAAGATTTCATGTTAAATTTTAACAGCTGAGTAGTGTGTGTGAGTGCCACAACTTTTTTACTTGTTACCTATCACTAGTCAATTAGGTTGTGAAGATAGGGTTTTTTGGTGCTTAGGAGGTAGGTGTAAGGAAAATGAAAGTATTAACCAGAATGATTCAGACCACAGTCATGGATGAGGCTGTGAGCTGTTTTTTTCCAAAGATTTATTAATTTATGCATACAAGAACTGGGGTACATGCCAGAGGTGTGTGTTTGCCGGTGAGAGGATTCACCAGAAACAGAGTGGGGAGCAAGAACAGGAGGGTTTACTGAAACACACTGCTAAGGGTGGCAGTGGGCCAGACAGGGGAGGTCTGCTGTGCCATGTGGGTCAGCTCCCTGGCTGGCGATTGAACTTATGCTGCAGTGGCTGCAGACAGCTTCACAGTGCTGAGACTTAACCCCTCTGCTACCAGGGCATCCACAAACCTGTGGTTTTGATGAGTTCTCTCATCCCACTTAGAATTATGAGAAAGAAATCTTTTAAGAGTGGCCTTTACTTTTATAGAAAATTGAACCTGGTCTTCGGTGCTGGGACTGGCACAATGAAATACAAGCGGCCTGGCCTGTGGGCCTGGGTTCGGCTCCTTGCTCGTTCTCTGCAGTCCCCACAGCCCTTGTCTCTCCTCTCATGCTAAGGTGACACCGTATTTGGAGTGCAGCTTCTGCTTGCCCTTCTGGTGGGCCCATTCTCAGCCCCAGGGCCTTCTAGTACCACTTGCATGAGGGAAGAAGGCTTGGAGTTTCATAGAAAGGGACCGGAACACACACTATCCAAGTATAAAATACTACCAACAATTTTGACTTTCAGGGATGCCTTATGGGTTATACAAAAATGGCCTTCAGAAGATGGAATTTCAAGCCCTTTAAAATGCAGATATTTGAGGAGTTAAAAGAGCTCAGAGTTCAAAGCAACCTAGATAGCACCTACTATGTGTCAGCAGGCATTGTTGTTCTAAGCACTCAGTCCTTTGAATCCTACAACAGGTGTATGAAATAGGCACGATTGAAGGCTCATATTACAGATGACTTGACTGTGGCAGAGAAAGCTGAGCCATAGCTCGAGAGCACAAAGGATATGGTGGCACCATCGTTGGAACCCCGGGCATCCTGGCTGTGGAGTCTGCACTCAATGAGTTCCTCCATGTGGCTCTAGTACATCACCTACAGTGATTCTGAGCATAGGTGTAGTCAGAATGTCCTTATCTATTTCTTCTAGAAACGTCACTGTTTCTACCTTTTCC